ACAAGTGCCTTACTAGTAGTAACAAGTGCCTTACTAGTAGTAACAAGAAGCTATTAATTTAACTTTAATAGCTTTTTGTTACCAGTAATGTACCAGAGAGTCACCGGTCGCTCGGGGGTTGCCGAACCGTCACATCCGTCCCGGATGGGACGAAGCAAAACCACCCGAGCCGAGCGACTTACTCGACTCCCATTCGAGTGTTCAAAACACGAATGATGTGGCCAAAGATTGGGTGTTTTCGGAGATGCCTGGCGGTCGCCAAGATCATCAGCCTGGGTTTGTTTGAAACACATCAGGCCAGGCCCTACTTGATGAAGTCTCCTGAAACTTTAGCTTCTTTGTGAGGTGATCTTTTATTGAACACTCGCAAACCTTCCAGAATGTCCTCACCCCAATTCCGACCAGCTGACCGAGCGGATCAGAGTCAGTAGTTATAAGTCACGTCCTGAAGCGAACTCTTGGATCTTTAATGATTGAATCTGGCCAAGAAGAGCTTCTGGTCAATGGCTAAGCTACCAAACACCATCCGAAAACCCATGGCATTCGGCCCAACTTCCGCGCACCGGGTAGCATGTTCTAAGCCCTGGTATAGTGCTGCGTGTCCTGTGCAGATTCTGCACGGCCTTTGGGCGGAATCTGCGCATCGTATCCAAGGATGTTGGAATGGATTCCACGCTTGGGAGACTTGCGGGAAAGCAAGCATTCTGAGGCAAATGGGTCGAGCTGTTAAGTGCAAATCGCTATGATCGCTGACCTTTGTTGGGTCAAAGTAGTGCAACAAGACGTTAAACAAAGCGATGAAGTCGAATACGTTATTTCTTGCTCTTTTGCAGTGTTGCCTGAGAAAGTTGTATCAGCTTGCAAATATTCGCCCGTTAGATCTTCCCCCAGTCAGACGGGTCGGAGCTACCATGGCTAGCCCTGTCGGGATACTGTAGGAGGAGTCCTAGAAACACATTCCAGATCGTGTTCCATCACCAATTCCAGGTGTGGAATAGCACCCAAAAGAGGTGACAAGGGCTGTCCAGACAAATCCACCCCGGTCCCTGTTTGGGATCAAGCACTGTGGTTTTCGGCTGACCATTTGGCCAGGTTTGGACCACTGAGGAGGAAGCACAGCTCCTGGAGATCTGGCAGATCCTCACCAAGGCGCTCCGGCTGAGGATGAGCTT